ATTCGTTAATTTAGTATATCAAATTATCAATACCAAAGAGACAGATGCCATCAAGGCCATGAAAGCGTGGAGTGGTCTACCACACTAACACTAGGGTTTTATTTTTATAGGAACCAATCACACGTCGCCCAATCACTCTATGGCAAATTAACACAATGATCATTTAGGCAGGCAAATAGCATTTCACCCACAAGCTATAAAGCCACTAATATAGTATGTAGTATTCTCAACAAAAAATAATTTCAAAAAACCAAAACAAACAAGATAAGGACAAACTTACACCCTCCTCATCAAGCGTAAGATGAACGTATTTTCATCGTACATATTACATAATTGAAATTGTTCACTTTGTTAATCATTGTTTAAAGATTATTATAATCAAAATTGTTTTCAAAACTATCAAGTTTTAAATACATACGAATGAGTGAACAATCTCATTTAAGCGATGATTAAGAAATGAACCATTTGGACTAAGAAGTTTTCTACAATAAAAATGTATTAATCTTAAGTAAGTGAACAAGTTTATGTTATCTTTGATTAGATAGATTGAAGTATTATCGAAAACATAAATGAAAAATAAATAGCTTATTATATATTATTATTATCATATACATAATTTGACTGCATCGTAGTGGAAAGACACGAGCGTGTTGCATTTTATCGGAAAGTAGAAAGTAGCTGAACCACGAAAGGCTAAAATCTAACAATGGGATTGGGACATTTCCAATCAAAGTGCAAAAAAAAAAACTTTCTTGAATTAATATAAAGACCACCACCAATATCAAAGCTACAAAACCTCAAAAAACTCTCTCTCTCTCTCTCTCACTCTCTCACTCACTCATGTCAAAGTCCAAGTCCTAAAAACAAAGACACATCTATAATTTTCCCAAAATCCCGGGGGGAACCTTTAACCCTAATGAAAAGTATGATGTGCTTGTTTTGGGGGAATGTGCAAAATTCTCATTTGACTAAAAACCAGACACTTGTCAAAGAAAAACTTGGAACAAGGGAATGGACAGTCTCACAGAGAGGCCCCTACCACATCTCTTTTTTCTTTCTTTTTTTTTTGTCAATATTAGATACAAAATTGTTATCCATTTTAAGCAATTTTTTTAAAATCTTTTTTGGTCAAGTCTAATAAGTAAATCCGTTTTAAGCAAATCTAATAAGTACTTAGTCATGTTAATTTATACACTCCATCCTTTCCAACTAGCTCAACACTTTTTTGAGATGGGGCTTGACTAACGACCAAAGACCAAACCTTTCTGCTCTTCTAATGTTAAATTCATAAAAATCCTTCATTTTCCACAATTTATTAAGATGGGGTTTCATGAAGCAATCCTATCTTATTGGGTTTCTTCAAATTCTTAGTGGAGGAGTCAAGGGTCATAGATTCCAATTGAGTCCATCTCATTCTTAAAAGAACCAATTTTTTGTAATTAATCATACTATTTAGTATTTTCCCTTGTAAGTTGTAACCCCCTCTCTCCATATTTGATACACTATTGATAATTTGTCCTTTTTTCTCTTTTTCGATAAGAAAACATTTGGTTGCTTATATGTGAAGAATTATTCATAATCACACATAAATTACTAATTGCATAATTTCTTATTTATTATTTTAATAAGTTAATGTATAAGACTACGATTTGCATGTAAGGAAAAACAGCATTTTACATGTTTTATCATTATTTATATGGGAGTTTTAACAAAACACTCATGATACTATTTACTTTTAACGAAAAACCACATTTATACATTTCCCTGATACTATTCACTATACCTTTAAAAAGAGCTTTTCATTCAAAATGAAGTTTTTTTGGACTTTTAGTTAGTTTTCTTTATTTATATTTGTTAGGTTCATTACACAAACACAATAGACCATGACAGTGACCAGTGGCAAAGCATTGCAACATTTGGAAATGCTAAATGAACTGAAAGTAGGTTGACCCATTTGGTATTGTGATTAGTTTATGCCATTCCCCATGCCGTTTTGGCAATGTGAGGTTTAATTAATCAAAGGGTTTAAAGATTACTTTTCCTACTGGGGTTGCTAAATAATCAAATGTGTTAATACACTTGCCCCACTCCACTTGTAACTTTTGTTTGGGCAGTTTACTCCACCTTGCTTTGCAAGTGTTTTTTTTTTAAGCTCTTGATTGCCTTTTGACCTAGCCCTTTTTTATTACTTTCGGAGTTTGGAAACGATGACCAATGTTTAAATCCAACCTTGATATATTTTACTTGAAGGATGTTACTTAAAAGGGTATTTGTGAGTAACTTATAGTAAATATGGAATGTCGAACGTTTGCTTGCTGCATGAATTAGTCCTTAATTTGTCCCCAAATTTACCATTAAGGTTTTGTTTATGACTTAAATTTAATAATGTGCTTGATAGCTGGGGTGATTTAGGCTTAAAATCTCTTCAGCATTGGATACTAGATTAAAAGTTAGATAATCAATAGTGGCGAAAATCAACCATTTGAAACTATTTAATCTTACAATTCAGGATATAAAATCAAACTTCTAGTAAGTAAGAAGTTAACAAAACATAAAAATAATGTTTTCTGGCCAAATTTATGTTACTATATTAATGTTTATGTTGTTAGTCAAATTAACTTATGTTACTGTACTTGATTCTTGACGGGACATATCTAGCTACTCCAGATTTATAGAAAATACGTGACCAAGTGCAGAACTCCGGAGGGTGAAAAAAAAAAGAGTTAAGACAACTTAATTTGGAGATTCTCAGGACTTTAAACATCTTCTATTACTGAACAAGCTTGAATATTAACGAAACAACTAGGTCATCTAGCAGTAATTCTCTTCCAATGTTAGAAGAAATTTTAAGTTCCAATTGCCGCTCCCAATTAATAATAAAAAAAATCAAACGAAATATATGGTCAGTGGACACTGCATGATTTCACTCTGCATATTTCATATTCTTACTAGTTTTCTACTGCTACGAACGAAAACAAATTAAAAAATAACATCCTATATGGTGAAGCATATATAGACCAACAAAACAAAACAAGCATAAAACTTTGAGCGATGGGCCCTTCCTTACGAGGGAGCCTATTGTTTCTGTCCTGGTGTGGGGTTGGTTATTTCCAAGATGCAGACCACAAAAACTCAATAAAATATGTTTTGTTCTCTGATAATTTCGATTTAGTTGAGAAAAATCTTAACTGCTCCGTTTGAAAATGCGAATTGTTACAAAGAATTTGGTTGCACAAAATGCGGATTTACATGTGAATATTGGAGATCATTTTTGTTGGTACATTATGAATTCATTTCTTGGAGTAGGTACTAAAAAACCACGCAGTTGTTTTCCTTTTCAGCTGGTTTTATATATGTAGGATTGATCTAAATTTTGAAGATTTTTTTTTTATTAGAAATACTTAGCTCCTTACGTGTAAAAAGTAGCATTTTTTTCGTTCAGACAACTCATATTTTGTTATGTATCTAGAAAATTTTCATTTTATGATTCCATTTATATGAGATAAGAACATTATTTTTTTCTAATCTACCAGTCATCAATCATCATTATTGATTCTGCATGCGGTCCAATATCCTAGTGCATAGGGTGTTGGGTTTTCACCCATGCATCCCGAGTTCGAAACTCCCCCTACCCTCAATTCTTGTAATAGTGTCAAACTCTCTCATTTCTCTTAATAATAATATAAATTTTGAAATAAAATAAAATAAAAAGCATCATTGATTCAAGTCCTTTTTTTTTTTTAGTACATTAATATTTTTACACTAGGGGGAGGGGGAGTTCAGCTAAACCACATAATGGGCAACCTAATTTGGTATCGAATTTGCCATCTACGAGATTCGAACCTAAGACCTCTCACTTCCAAGTGAAGAAGAATATCACCAGACCGTAGCATGGCAATTCAAGTCCCTTCTTAGTCCTCAAACATTGACGTTCTACAACATAAGTTCTAGTATTATAATGGTTCATGGAGCTTTCAAGATTAAGCATAAAGTTTACTTGTCAAATTTCATCTAGATTAGACGGTAGATCCACACGTGTGTAGATCACATTAAGATTCAAAACCCTAAATTCATAAAACAAACAAATCCCAATAGTTACATAGACATGATGTAATAATTACCTCATAAAATAATAACTGTTATAAACTTTGTATTTAAGTGTGATTGTGTAAATCTTAGATTATATTTGATTCTAGTTATTCTACCCTATTAGAACTTGTATTCCTTGGAGGAGAATGATTATTCCCTCCCTTATTACTACAAATAAAGATACTGCATAGGAAAATAACACATCATCTACACAACCCTACAAACACATATATATCTCTATTTTCTCTCTGTGCCACCGGCCCCCTCTCTCCCTGTAAATTAAAATAAGCCACAACAATAACATCTTTGAAACTTATGTAAGCCACAACAGTAACATCTTTGAAACTTAAGAGTGTTATGAGTTAGTATATTTCCAAACCATTTTCATATGGAATTGCAAGTTACATATAGATAGAGAATTTATATTCTAGGGTTTTATTGGAACTTGGAAGAAAGTGACTGTAGCTAGAAAATAAAAAACCCTAGAGCAGTTACAGACCTCCATTTCGAGTTTTTGACAAGTACTACTGGGAATCTACACATTATTTTTCACCTACAAGTGCTAGCTTATTATTATTTGCAGTTGAAGAGATGCAGGATTAAATAGAAATCAGAAAAAGAAAGATTTAAAAAAAAGTAGGTGGAAAGGAAAGGATGGTCTTCCACAGAATGACATCTGCAATGTCCTTTTCCTTGCCCCCCCCCCCCTTTTCTCCTTATCTCCATAACATTCTATATTATAACTAAAACAGTCTTAATTCTCATCTAATAAACACTTGTCAAGTGTTTAAAAAACGCATTATTTGTTCAATAAATATATGTCACGTATATCTTTACTTACACTAAATTATCTCTCCTCCTGATTATAAATCATAGTCTTTAAAACCCTTCTCACAACTTCCAATACTTCACCATCCAAAATCCAGAAACCAAAACCAAAACCTTCACTTCTCATATCCTTCTGCACTCACTCACATTTTCTCTAGAACTTCTTATTATTTTCTGTCCCATGTCAATGTCTACCTCCAAAACCCTAGAAAAACCCTTCAAAGCTTTTGAGCAAGGTCAGGCACAGGTGGGTTTTGCTGCTGTGCTGCAGAGAAGCACACCTCCTCCGTCCTCTCAATCCGGCGAGAGAAGAGGAAGGCGAAAGCAGGCCGAGCCAGGGAGGTTTCTTGGTGTGAGGAGAAGGCCTTGGGGGAGATATGCAGCTGAAATCAGAGACCCTAGCACTAAAGAAAGGCACTGGCTTGGCACATTTGACACTGCTCAAGAAGCAGCTTTTGCTTATGACAGAGCTGCCCTCTCCATGAAAGGCTCACAAGCAAGAACCAACTTCATTTACTCTGACAACACAACTTTCCAATCTCTCCTCTCACCCTTTGATGTCCAAACCCTTTTACCACAGCAATCACAGTTTTTCACTACTCAGACTGCTAAACAACAACTCACCAATCAAAACAGTCCACCTCATCATTCTAACGTTTTTCAGTCTGATCAAATCCAATTTCAAAACCCTAATAATATTAGGTCATCATCATCAGCACATGATGAGGATCATGAGGGTTTCTTTTTCTCTGGCGATTCGAGTAATTCTAACTCGGGCTATTTGGCCTGCATTGTTCCTGATAGTTGCCTAAGGCCTCCTTCGGATAATCACCACCCCACAAATTACACAAACTCAAAAGCTTTGAAAATTGATCAAAATTGTAGCTTCGCAAACCCTAATAACTCCACTATTGCTACATTTCCTCTAGATGTTACGAATGTGCAAGCAGCTTCTAATAACAACAATGGAGATCATCAGATTCCTTGCTTTGATGGATTCAGTCATGGATTCTGGGATAACCAGCAGCCATGGGAGTTCAATCCTATGATGATTGAAGATGGATGCATGGGAGCGTTGTATCCGATCGTCGAAAAGTCAAGTGCTTATGGATCTTCTTCTTCATTCTCTTGCTCTCCATCAGTTCCTGCTATTGGTGATGCAGTCATTGAGTTTGGCCACTCACTCGTTTGATTAACTTCTGGTGCGTACGTGCACCAATGGAAATTATCAATTAATCATGCGCACGCACTTATTTTTCTTGTGTCTTGAGCTTTTCTTGCAACCCTTTCTCTTTCATGGTAATTTCTACGTCTTTCGTCACATATATATTTTTGTACCAATATTTGATGATATTAGCTAGCACTTTAATGGCTTTATTGCATAATATAATAACTGCATTATGTGTCTATCTTTACGGCTATCTGCCCGACCTTTAACTGACAACGTAGCCTAACAAAAAGATGCATGCAACATAATTTGGATGCAAAAAGAGACATGGACCACTAAGCTTCTCAGCCACACAAGTGCAAAGTATTAGTGCTTTCACAACAACGGTTCTAGCTTTTTGTTATGCTTTCTAGTTTGTATGCTATGCAAAGTTGTAGTTCATATGGGTACTCTTCAACAAGCTTGTAGATTAAATAGTTAATATCATTCACTCAAACATTTATCTGGTTGATCTTATTTCTTTTATTATCACTCGTATTAAAAAGTGACGGGTTACAATAATTAACGGTCAACAATCAACAACTTACTTTATAAGGTGACCATAGGGAATAAATCTATATATTCTCCTAAATTTATGAAAGTAAAGGTAACATACAAGGCTCCTAAATATATTCCAAGAGTTCTTGTCTGCTCCAAGATTAAAGTTGGATACATAAGCACTTAATTTTAGTGCTTTTTTGTCCCTTTGTTTTTCTTTACAAGGATGGTCATCAAGCACTACTGGTTTGGAAGGTAATGTAAGGAGATCCATTAATTTTGCCCAACACAGTTCATTGCCTTCAAACCTGGATTCCTCTTGTCTCTTTGTCGGTCACTCCGTCAAATAAATTAGACTGGAAAATGTGTCTCATTATTTAGCTTTTTGGCCATGTAATTGTGCATTTTCTTGGAAGGGAGACTGGGGTATTATGGGAAATTCCTGCATATATAAATAAGGCAGTGCTTTTACTTTTCCTACACTCTTCTCAAATTTTGGCCGTCATATCACATGAATAAAAGAAGATTAATGACAAAAATAAACAAATGTGTGTAGGAGATAATTAAAAATTAGTGTGCAAATAATACTATCCTATAAATAAACCCCATGTCAATGATATCTTTTTTCCTTGGGAATATCTTGTGCTCAATCATATGGTACTTGTGAAAAATCTTTGGGAGGAGTGTGAAGACATGACCAAAGCCATAAAGTTCCCTATACTACCGCACATCCCATCAGTTTTAACTTCAATCCATATTTAGGATGGAAGAAATTTAAAGGCAAAACTTGTACTCTTTGATGAACCAAATTGGACCAAGTTTTGCATACAATGATTTTTGTTGTCATATGCAGACGTGGACAGAATCACGTTGGCTAAAGCGAATGCATCCCCTCTTATGCACCGAAGACTTGAGTTCAAATCATTTTTCTCATAGTTTATATTAGTTTCAAGAATAAAATGGGTGAAAAAGGATTTCCAACTTTCTAACAAGGTTCATCTAAGGGCCATGCTGCCATATAATCAATCAGAAAGAGTTGCCAACAAGTACCCGCAAGAAAAGGGAAGTGACAAGACAATACATATATTAAGCTACTCTAAGTGGTTTAGTACTGAGGTGATTCTGAAAAAAGTGACTATAAAAAAAAACTGAGAGCTTTTTTATATTTGGTAATCATTCAGCTTCAGTTTTTTTTTCACAGTTTTGGATGAAAAAAAAGCAAAAAACACAAAGCTGCAAAACCCAACTTTGAAAAACCAGCTTTTTTCATATCTGTTTTACATAAAAGTTTATCAAACACTATAATACTGCTTTTTTTTTTCAAAAGCACTTTTACAAAAAAGTTCACCAAATACTCTGCTGCTTTATTTCACAGCTGCTTATTTTCACAGCATAAACAGTTTTTTTTCAAAGCACAACAGTACCAAACCAGCCCTAACATAGAGAGGACGTATTTGAACCTAAACACAAAGGGACGAACACACTTCACTTACCAACTGGTCTGACGCACATGCAATCTAGGTCATTTCACAGTATCAATGCATGCATATATGTATGCATGTATGTAAGCAGTGTAAAGGAAAGTAACAAAGATGATTTTCTCCTCGCTCAATGAAATAATGGAAGAGAAAGATTATTACAGAGTCAAAGAGTGCTTCTTCATATATTTTGTATTTCATAACATAAAAACCATGGTCAAGCATTTCAATTGACACAACAGAATATAACTATGTATCTGAAGATCCCAAATAAAGTAGCAAGCACTGTGATGCCTTCCTTCTTTCGGTCTTTAATTTGCTTCTGTTTTCGAAAATAGACCTTGGACAAAAAGTGGGGGAACATGAATTCAAACTCCCAAGTTTTTAACTGAAAGCTCGTTCCCTGGTTTAGAAAAGGAAAATTCAGAAAAGGATAGACACGAATGCACGGTCATTGGAAAGGCAAGAACGCCTGGAACTATTGTTTTCATTCTGAAAAAGGATTGAGCACAAATGAGGATAACACTCCAAAATTGAAGATCTGGACACGGATTTGCCTCAAGGAACTGCAAATTCTTTCAAGGTTATTGAAGAGAGAGGTGGGAAGGCTATATGGGGTTTGCTAAACTTTTGGAGGTCGGCCATGGCTTATTCGAGATAAAAAGGGATGGCCGTATAAAGATGATATAAACACAGAGATGAACATGACTGATGTATGCTAAGGAAGTGAGATATGAAGCCTCTGTTGGAGGACTTGAAAAAGGTAAAAATGATGCTTTGGGAGAAAGTTGATCAAAAAGGAAGAATGAAAAATTGCTTGACATTTTCTTAGCTTGAACTATGAGACTCTGTACTGTTGCCACTGCCACTCGAAGGACCGGAACCCTGAGAAGACTGTTGGACACCCACAGGGGTAACACCACTCTTAGAAACAGTTGAACCTACTGATAAACTCGAAGTGCTCAGTGACGAAGACATTCTGCCTGAAACTAAGTCCTTTCCAGAGCTTGAACTAAGCTCAGCTCGCAACTCCGAGGATGAGGATGATGGGGCTAGTGTACCAATTGATGATCCCACTGGGTAGGGTGCAACTGGCATATCAGCAAGAGAAGACGCTGATGGGCTGTAACTGAGTGTTCCAATTGGGTGGTCGAATTTGCATGCGGATCCAAACTTGCATGCTCCACGTTGTTGATAGTGAGTGCAAAGTGGAGCACCCTGATTACCACATAGAATTTCAAATTCACAGAGGACAAAAATAAGTATGCATTAGCAGAAAAGTGTATAACTTACCAAGAAGGCATTCACAGTACAAAAACGTACAAGCAAGCAAACTTAACATAGCACTTCATCCTAAGAAAGAAGGCCAGCATGTTAACTAATAAAAATAAAAATCGTGACAACCAACATAATAAGTAGTATAATACGCTCAACTAGTAAAAATGCAGACTACCAGACTTTACAGACAATATCACCTAGAAGTAACAACAAAAAAAGCATAAATGCAAGGGCCAAAAAAAAACAAAAAAAAAAACACCGAAAGGGATGCAAAATTAAGTGAGGCTTCCTAAAATGGACCCTGGGTCCAAAAATCATCATGATCCAGATAGCCCTAACTTACATAATTTCAAACCAAATAATTACCATCTATCAGCAGCAACTCATTTCAGCACATATTTCCCACAAAGATTGAGTGTTGCTGTGTAAACAAGCTCATGGATCATGCCTATTAAAAGCATCATGCTGAAAAGGATTTGTAAGGGCGGCTCACCGGGCGTGAAGGAAGACCACTGGAGCTAAGGAGAACAGTTGTTTTTGATTGAACAACTTCTGGTGGATGATGATATCTACATGAGGAACCAAATTTACAATCCCCTGTTCTCATATAATACTGGCATTCTGGTTGACCAGGTCTTTCTGGAAATAATTGCTCCTTCTGGCTAGTAGTTGGAAGACCAAGAGAGGAAGCTAAAGGCATCGGTTGATACATTCCGGTAAATGCAGGCGCTGAAGGAGATAGTTGGGTATAAAGTGTCCTAGCACCAACACCAGGTTGAGTACTCGGAGAGGGCAATTGGCTTGCAAGTGCCTACACCACATGACTAACAGCTTAAGGGAAATTCATGTAACTTAAAAGATAATGGAGCAGGAAATGTTATTTACCTGATATGGATTCCAACCTGAGAAAGGAATTGTGCCCTGGGAAAGCAGCACTTGACCATAGGGGTTTGGAAGATATGACCCCGGTATTAAAGGAGGCCTTGCAAATACTACTCCATACTGTTGTGATGAAACAGATGGAGATTGCACATTTTGATACAATGTGTGTGTAGCAGGTACAGGTGAAACTTGAGGTACTGGTGACGGCACTGGAAGCTGTATGCCAGCCGGCAGTGGATGATGGAATTTACAAGTTGCACCAAACTTACACTGGCCAGTTTTCACATAGTAGGAACACTCTCTTTCGCCCTGTTTTATTTGCAAAATATCCATGATTACAATACTTTACCTCACAATTATGAAATGGGATCTATAATATGACAACGAGTTGAAGAAATAGAAGTTCAAATTTGAGAATTACAGACCGGCCGCAATGGATATCCATAATAGTTTAATGAAACAGGGCTATCAGAGCTTCCTCCCTGCTTAGGATGATGGTACTTACACGAAGCGCCGAATTTGCAAGTCCCTGTCCTCATATAATACTGCCATCAAAGAATCACAGAGCAATCAAACAAAGGGGATTCACAAATTTTCAGGACAGCAAAGCATGCAATTGTCAATAGAGGATGTTACTCTATGCAGAACACATGAGACCGGAAGCTGAATATGTGATCTGCTGGAATCCTGTAAATGTATACTATGCCAAGGCAACATTTTGGCCTAAACTCGAAAAAAAGTTAAGTACCTGGCACACCGGCTGGCCCGCTCGCTCAGGGTACTCTAATCCTCCAGTTCTTGCCGCTCCGATAACCTGAGAAATATGTACCGCTCAAACTTAACTAGTAAACAGGAAATCATATCAGCATTAACCGTTAATATAAAAAGTTAAAATTTTCTCCACAACGACTTGAAATTCAACAAATTCAGAACAATCCCACTAATCAAATTGCTTAATACCTACAGACGAAACCCACAATATCTCTACTAAC